AGGTGAGAGCTGGTCGTCTTGTATGGGGGGTCATGCTCAAAAGAGGGGGCTACCTGCCTTTGATGTCCTTCTTATGGGGACGGTGCAGAGGGACCCGCATCCATCTCTGTCGCAGTAATGGATACTCTGATCTCTATTTCCACACAGTAGAAGGACAGGAAGGCCTCCACTGAACCCAATAAATTTGAGAGGAGATTGGAAAAACGGGGGATGGAGTCCACGGTTTCACAGCCTAAGTGACCAAATAAAAAAGAGGAAGGTGGCAGTGTGGAAGTGGGAAAGAAAGGGGGAAAGACAAAGGAAGAATGAAAAGCCCTAAAGCAGAGGGGGGTAAGAGCAATGGGTGAGCCCTGGTGATGCATTCAGGCATCATCAGGGTCAACAACCCATCCCAAGGACTTTCAGGCCTTTCATAAGCCTGGCATTCTGGGATGGCTGACAGTCTATCCCAGCTTTAATGTTGATGAAGACCCAAATTTATATGGTTATCATATGGATGATTTAAAAAAAAAAAAAAATTCAATGGGGAAAGGTTAGAGGTTCACCAAGTGGTGCTGCAGCAGTGAAACATGCCCTTGAGGCGGGAAAATAAAACGACATTCACCCTGGAAATATACCATACATTTCAGCCTGAGAGGGTCCTCCGTTTTATTTGCATGTAAAATCACAAGTGCTAAGGCAAAAAGATCAATGTAGTTTACTCACTTCAAGCCAGTAAACATGCACCACATAACCCATTAGGTGAAATCAGACTTGTAATAGAATATCAATGGTGTGCTTCAAGTGGGGTTAGCCTCAAATAATTTGTATTCATTTTTCCCTCGCTGGCGTAAATAAAAGAAAAACTCGCATGCTTCCTCCAGACGTGTTGTTTAGTGACATTTTCAGTTGAATGCCTCTCTTAAGTGGGGAATTTCCACCTTGACAGGCAGTTGGCCTACCCAGATGACAGCTTGCACAATGACACACTTTCACATCATCTGTCACTCAGCAAGACAGTCAGCTTCAAAATGCACAGAAACGCTCTTTTATGGTTTTGTTCATCTTAGGTGCTTTCTGTGCAAATACTGTTTATACTTAAAAAAAATATCTCATTCTAATCACAGTTTATCAGATACTCCATTTAATCATGCTGCAAATCTTTTCTATTATTTGGTGATGGTGACTTTTCAGTCATTCAGTCCTTATTGAGTTTGATAAGGATTTTAATTTATAGACCAAGAAAAAGCAGCAAATAGATGTAGAAGGATAAATGGTTCATAATGTTACAAATACAATCTACAAGTGTCTTCCAAGCGGTGCTTTGTAGAATCACTTTTTTTGGCTACAACTGAAGTCTTTTGGAGTACGTCGATATCAGCTTTACACATCTTGGTATTGACATTTTTGCCCACCTGCCTTTGCAACAAAACAGAAAAAAGCTTAAGTTCAATCAGATTAGTTTGAGAGCATATGATAAAATCAACTTTCATGTCTCCCCACAGATTCTCATAGAATTTTTGTCTGGACTTTGACTGAGCCATTCTCACATGAATGTTCTTTGATCTAAACCAACCTGTGATAGCTTTGGCTATTTACTTATGGTTGTTGTGCTAATGGAAGGTAATCCTATGCTCCAGTGCTAAGTCTTTTCCACTCGCTAACAGACTTTACATCCATCATCTCTGACCAGCTTCTCTGTTCCGACAGAAGGAAGGAAGAGCATTGTTATCATCAGCATTATTCTGCCTCCACCGTGTTTTACTGTGTAAATGTATTTTCAGGGCTATTTGCAGCATTCCACAGATTAGCAAACTGATCTTTGAATGCAAAAGCTAACTTTTGGTTTTGTCCAACCAGAGATCCTTCTTCCACAAATTTCTTTTCACTTGCTTCTTATAACTCCTCCATACAGACCTGATCTCACAACTAATTCCAGTAGACAGATTCTCACACTTGAGCCATGGATTTGTGCACAGTCTCTTGACTGCTTGTCTGATTAATGCTCCCCTTGCCCTAAGTTAGATAGACTACTATATCTTGGTAGTTTTTCAGCGATGCCATATTCAAATAGTGGATGGAACAGAGCTCTGTGACATGTTGAACACTTGGAAGATCATTTTATCTACTTTAAACTTTATTCCTGACCTGTCTGCTGGGTTTGTTGGTTATCATGATGCCATTTGTTCACTAATGTTCCTGCTAACCTCTGACATATTCATAAAACACACAAAAATCATGCATGTGTGCTAGGATTAAACTGCAGAAGTGTAGAAAACAGCGTGCCATTCATGTGGACCAGTATGTGGATCCAATGTGACAAAATGCAAAAATGTCATTTCTTTTCATGTGAAAATATTTTTCCTGGTTGTTGCTCATGAAATATGAGTGTAGTATCATTACTTTATATATGTCCTTATATTTCGGATGTAACATAGTTTGTTGTGTCTAAAGATCAGTGTTTAATCTCTCTTTTTTCAATTTTTTTAATTTATTTTTTTATTTTTGCTATTTTTTATTTTATTTCCAGCAGGCTACAGATGGAGAGACTATGGAGCGCTCACCATCATTATGGTTGGCATCGCATTTGGCTTTCATCAGCTTTACAAGGCAAGTCCCACCACAGCATAATGGCCGTTTCCTTCCTCAATTTCATATCACAGTAAAAGCTCGACAAACATATTAGCAGGCTCCACGCTGCATGTATCTCCTCTCCTTCATATTGCATTCAAATGTGTTCACATCAGTCTATGACAAACTGAAGGCGCCACTGCAGCACGCAGCATCACTCCGGTCTTGTTTTTGAAGTAACCATGCTTGACGTCAGAGCATGATCTCATTCTATCCTCTTATTTTTCCTTTGAAAAGTCTATTTGCCAGCGCAGCACAGAACTTGTTTTTTTGGACATATTACAGACTAAAATAAACCCCCTGATTTTTATTGGGCTTGAACATGAGCTCATGAGGTTCCTTGTCCACAGTGACACTAATCCCACAGTGCTTGTTGGTTGTACTCTAAATGACATGTGGAAACCATTAGTCTAGTTTTAAAAGAGGCCAGGAGCCCTAGCAGTAGTTTCTGACCTAAATGACAGGCAGCTCCACTTTATGCGTGTTGGAGAGAGAAACGGAGGACGGCACATGCAGCAACGTTTTCTTTAGACGCCGTTTTGCTATCATTTACTCTCCCCGCAGAGAGAGTAGTTTCATAAGGCTGCACGAGCACATTCCTGATCTGCTGTGTCTTCAGGCAAGAAGGCACACACAGTCCCAGCCCACAGATTCCGACATGGAGAAATGCTTCCCTTGTTTGGTAGGTGGGAATCCCTGGTGGGATGGCACAGGTTGCTGTCATGTCACTGTAGTGTAGCGCCAGTCGCACCATATGTCCAAGATTCTGCACAGACTTTATTTATGTTATGGTCTGCCTTGTAAACACCACACTCACAGCAACCCACTCATTAATTACCATGTGTTGACACCTTTTTAATCTTTTTTTTTTTTTCTCGAAAAAGTGTTTATTACTTGCACCCGTGTGGCATCTTGCCTCTTGAGTTGGAGAGAAAACCTGGCAAAGGGTCTGAAACTGGGAGTTATTTGTTTCCCTCAACTATGTGTGTGAATTGCTTTGCAAAAGTATCCGTATCTCTTTCGTATCTTGTTTTCACTTTTTTTTTTTTTTACATTACAATTACACTTCAATGTCTTTTACAGAGATTCTCTCAGTCAGACCAACACAAAATGGTGCATAATTGTCAAGTGGAAGAAACATACTAAATGGGTTTTAAGCAGTTTTCACAACCTAAAATCAGAACATTTTTGTTGTGTTTGCATTTTCTCCTTATGCTAATGCCCCTAAATAAAATCTAGTGCAACCAATTCTCTTCAGAAGCCACCTGGTTTCAGAATAGTATGTGAATAATTTCATTTCAGCATAAATTAGCTGTCCTCTTAAGGCCTCAAAGGTTTGTTTGTCAGTAAACAAATGGCATTACAAAGACCAGGGGGAAAGTTATAGAGCTTTTAAATCGGGGTCGGCTCAGAAAACAATTTCTCGGACTTTGATCGTCTCACGGAACATTGTTTAATTCATCAATCAGGAAAAGGAGAGAGTTTAACAAAACTACTAATCGACAAGGATATCTGGTCAAAGCGAGATGCCAGAAAGAAAGAACTTTATTGGAAGCAGCCAAGTGATCTATAGTTTCTCTGGGGAAGCTGCAGAAATCAGTTACTAAGATGAGTATTATTCATGCTGTCAACAGGCTGCCCTTCATACAGCATTAGCAAGAAGAAAGAAATTGTTAAAAAAATATATATTAAAAAAAAAAAGCCACAAGAAGTAGGGTTTGCAGATTTGCAGAGGACACAGCAAAAATTTTATTTAAATTAAACTTTTTGGCCTAAACTTAAAACTTGCAGTTATGATCGCAATGAAATGTGTTTCTACTAATAAAATTGACTCAGGGAGGACTAAATGCAAATGCAGATTTTTATTTGTCTATTTTTTTTTTATTGCATTTTTGCTCTACTTTGTTTTGATCTGATACTAAAAATTAGAATAGAACCCATATGGTTGTGCCTGGCTTAAAGTTTAGGGCACACAAGTACTTTTGTAAGCCCTAGATAGTATAAACTTTCAGGAGTTAACAGATTCAATGGAGAAATAAGACAATGTTGGCCTCACAGTGGTTAACAAATGCCTTCTTGTGCCTATTCAACATTGATATTATTCATTTTTGTGTTTGCTGCTGCAGAGAAATGATCGCCTTGATACTGTTGGTTACTATTTTCAATTTCCATCAATGTGTTTTTCCAGACATGCGATGAAAGATACTCGTACACCATTTGTAACCATTTTCCTTTTTATTCATTTGCCTATCAAATTACTTAATTGAATAATCATCTATTAAGGTTTCTGATTGATGCTCAAACTTACTAACGATTGGAACAATAAATGTATGTAACCACCTTCATTAACAACCATTAACAGCAGCTCTGACTCTTTGCTGTTGAAAAACACACAAAGTTACATAGCAGCTTTGACAACCAGCTTTGTATCCAATCAGCAAAGCCTTCTTTAACCTAGCATATGGAGATAACCTTGTCTTTTTCCTCATCTTTCTTCTGCTTTCCACCAGAGAGAAGTGTAATCCTGTGCCATGCTTTTAATTGCAGAAATACATCCTTCCCCTCATTATGGGGAGCCGAGAGGACAAGAAGCATCTGCAGAGGATGGAAAGCAACATTGCAGCAATGAGTGGCACGCTGACACAGACAGGTGAAGATTAATATCTTCATCACTTTCTCCCTCCTTAACATTTTCCCTCATTTATCTGTCGCCAAAATCGGGGGGCCCCGCACGTTTTTAACAAATGACGCCGCTGTCATTTCGCTTTAATTTGAAATTGCTTGTTTACTGTCAGGCTCGGGCTCAATTAATTACGTTTCGCTGAAAAGCTCTTAACCTCGGAATATTAATGAGGAGTTGGGAAATGACAACTTTTCTCAACCTCTCCACCCTCCCCCCCCCTTTCATTCACCACCCACCCGCCACCCCATCCTCGCAGCAACCTCACCCCCCATCCGAAACCTCCGTCGCCATCATTGTCAACCACCCTCTCCCCTGTAGGTGGGCTGAAAGTTCATTTTAATTTTGTGCGTGTGTGTGTTTGCTTTTTTTTCCCGGGATTTGTGTGTGCAGCTCGGCACTGTGTGGTATCTGGGCTCAGCACTGGCCCCAGTGTGATTAAGTGCACGGTGACAGGTGCGGCTCCCGTGTTGGACAGGTGAGGAATCTCAACCTGGCTGTCAGACGGGGGGGGGATGAGGGGAGAGAACTGCTTTTCCAGCTCTTTGTCAGTATAATTAAAAATCCAGGGAGGCATAAATGAGAGATGCACTCTGAGAAACTTAGGTCTTGTTAGCGGTAGTGTTAAGCTGAAGTGTGTTTTCACGTGATTCATACCGGTCCCCGGTTCATTTAGGTGGGTTAGGAGCAAAACTGTCTCAGGCAGGCGAAGGCTGTTGTGTTTCAATTGTCATGGCAATATCGCGTTTCATTTATGCAAAACCTTTGAAGATAGTCAAAGCAAGCTTAAGTTCAGTGCCGTGACAGCGCTAGAATGGCCTTCCTTGTTGCTCTGTTGTGAGGGAAAATGGTTTGTTTAATGTTTAAAACAGTATATTGACTGAACAAATTAGGCATGCCTAGTCACACAACCGAAACTTGATCAAACCCCGGCTTTTCAACATCGCAGTCAAGTTCAGGATTTTGATAATGCAGGTAAATAGGCATGGCTCGACATTAATGTTGCACAAACTTACACAAAGGTGTTTTTTCCTAATGTGTATTATGTTATGTAACTGCTTCTATTTTATTTTTCTGAAATATCTAAATATTCAATGTTAAATTACGATAATGTTACCTTTAAGACTAACTTTGTTCACATTTTAATTTTGATACATAGACCTAAACAAACCATGGAATAATCTGGTGAATCTAGTAGAACTCCAGTGGTTCTTTTGTTGAGTGATTAGACTGTTTGTCTTTTGCTGGGCTAACAAAGTACAGACAGATCTGTTAGCTCAAAACTCACGAATGTCAGTGGTTTTGGGCGGGACAGGAAGATATCCAAACAGCCAGATTGTTTTTCCTTAGGTAAAATAAAAGTCTGAATCCCTCTTTCATCCGGCTCAGCAGCAGTATAAGTGGCAGCCCTAATTACTTGGAGCTCCATGCAGCTGGAAAAATCTCCCACATTTTCTCTGATATCCCATTAAAGAACATTAGACTATAAGGACAGTCTGGCAGACAATTTTAGTGGTTTTAAACCTTTAATTTTTTTTAGAACTTTGGTTTACCTCGACATAGGCAATAAAATATATCCATAGCACAATGAAATTTAATATGACAGATTACTCAACAAGATGTTAAGGTTTGGAAAGCCTGGTCAGTCTGATCTAGCAAGAAAGAGTCGGTCAACCGAGCCTATTTTCCTTTTGGGATCAATAAAGTTGACTCGATTTTAGTCATTCATTTCTTAGATAATGAGATTTGGGAAAAGAATGTAATGCTGCATGTCATAAACTGGCAAACTGTCTAGGATGTACTTTGTCTCTCTCCCAACGACTGCTAGCGATGACTACTGACCCCTGTTGCATATTTACAAGTATTAGAATCAGCTTTATTTACCAAAACTGTATGCAGACTGTATGAAAAAGAATTTCAGTTCAGTTTTACACACTCACAGTGTGCAGACATTAGGTGTAAATTCATAAATTGTAGAGGAAATGAAAGATAAGCAAACTGTGTGCACATGTAGACGTGTAGCTGTGTTTTTGTTATTTTTATTATATGAAGGAAAATATGGGGGGGGGAAGAACATTGGGTATTTTGTTTTCAGCAAAATAGCAGACTAGTCATGGTGTTGGTGACGTTAAATCAATGGATGGTTCTTAACGATCCCACATATGCATTTGAATGTGTAGGTGATGGACAGGACTCTCGGTAAATTGAAGTATTCTGGTTTTTCTCGTCGGTTTGTTGTTCAAGATTTATGGCCAGTGTGGGGAGATGAAGCCTCAGGATACATTAGCTGAGATACATTACAGTGCAAATGCTTTAAACCTCAGCTGATTTTTCTTTTTATATTTTGCCTTCAAGGGCCTAGATGCTGCTGTAATTTAACAATCATTTAAAATGATCTCGAACAATTAGCTCTTCAAACTTTCTGATGGTTTCTCTTTTGACTTTGGCATCTTTTCATAAATTATCTGCCCAAACCTAAACCAAAATTCAGTATATTGTGCGGAGTGAAGCACAAATACACTATTGTTGGCTCAAAAAAGGTGATTTGGAACAGAAGTGGCTTTCCTTAAGGAATATAAAGAAAGTCCATTTGAACACCTGACAGAAGTGAACAATGAAGACCAACCCAAAATAATGCCAAGATGGTCTAGGAGCAAAATGTGAAGACCTGGTGGATAGTTTAGATGTTTGCAAAGTGCTAACAGACTCAGTATAGGACACAGAGAAATGTTGGGATAGGAGACATACAGTCATAATTTGTCAGTAGTAATCTTTTAGACGGATATTAAAAATCAACCACATTTAAATTTCCATAGCAACCAGTGTTTTGTATGTTATCTTTGTACCCTCGTGTGGGAAACTTCCACGGACTTCCAACAGATATTTGTTTAGACGTGTGGTGGACATTCCCTTGAACTTCAGATGAAAACAAATGTAGAATTTGCGTTTCCATCTCATGTGAAAAAGGGGGAAAAAAAAAAAAAAAAAAAAAACCACAGTTGAAAATATGGCTGTTATCGTTTTATTCGGTCACACCCGTTCTATTGTTTCCTGGCTGCTCTAGGAAGGCGGAGGGGCAGGAATTGTGTGAGATGGCGTGCAAGGTGTGTCTCCCTGAATCTGATTAACAAATATGTGCTGTTTTATGGCCATTTTCTCCCAACTATGCAAACACATTTCCCCTGGCTATTTCACTGCCCATTCTTGCTACTACTTATCGGTTTTTGGAGATTTGCCAGCATGGAACGCCCTACTCAGTTTGTCAGCGAGGGCAGGATTACAGGGAATGGAGTGTTCTCATGTTTTGCCAGCGAGAAAGTGAGACTCCAATGAAAAGAAGAAGAAGAAGAAAAAAAAAAAAAACATTGGTCTTTTCTTCAGCCAGCGTGTAGAACTAATTTGCTATGACTGCAGTAGCCAAGCTGCTATCGTAGTTAATGACTGTTGTAGTTAACAGTTGGGGAGAGGGGTTGCAATTACACTGAGAGTTTTCTCCCCCCTGCTTCCCCTTTGTCTTCCTCTCCCTCTTGCTTTCTCTCTCATCGCTGCACTGAGTAATAGCGACCGACTGCTTCGCTGCTGCCAATTGCTTGAACCCCCCTTTTGTTAAAGTTCATGTATTTCTCTAGTGCCAGGCGCAATGAGGTGATGTATCCTTTTGAATGGGGACCACATTAGTCTTTCTCACCAGCCCCGGCTAAGAGTAAAGGGCCTTGACTCCCATTATGATTTGCCTACAACTTCACACGGACAATTAATGAATGGATCTTGGAGCTCCTTCAGCGCGGATAGGCTGTAATGGAATTGCGTGGCTGTTTGGGCACTCTTTGTTGGTGGGAGCCATATTGGTGACCAGCTGGCCATTAAAGACAGAGACAGGCCCGGACATATGTAGTGTACATTATAGCGAGGTATTTACTGAATAATTTACTGAATACACAATGCGCAGCCTCCTCGCAGCAGCTGCAAGCCCCTCGCATTCTCTCACATGCACATGTGCACTCACACGTCCCAGCTACTGTCTCCTTCTGATTCATGCCTGGCCAACGTGGTTGACTTTATTAATATTCTTGGCTTCGAATCGGCGATATCACAGAGGAAGAACTCGTGCATTTTTTGACGAGTATCTGAGCAGAAAGAAGCCAGATTTTTTTCATGAGACGAGCGAGAGTTGGGCTGTGAACTGTTTGATTGAAGTGGTCATTTTGTTGTTAAAGAAGTGGCATAAAACGCCAATGAGAAAGGTTTCTTTGGGTTTGCTGAGCAGATCAACACAACTAAGTACATCACAAATAATTGATTAGTCAGTGACTTGTGTTTAAATCCATTTCTGTTGTATTTGGGCACATTCTGTTGGTATTTGCAGTGAGTGTAACTTTAAAACAGCAAAGCTTGTGCATAAACAAGAGGTCTCACTTGAAAAACTGTAGGTGTGTCTGTATCTCACGTAGTTTTGGTTAGAACGGGTTGGCTCTTCATTCATTGAAGTTACTTGCAGTGAGTACAGTATCCAGAAATTTTACTCAAGTGAAAGTAGTGATAGTTTGTAGTAATATTGTTTGGTAAAAGTAATAAGTGTGGGGCAGTTGAACTACTCAGTCGTTTTTTCAAAAAAGTTACTAAAGATAGTGGAAGTAGATACCACCCATATCTGGTGATGTCATTTGACACATTCAAGAGCAGGTCAAACATTGAAGCTGCAACAATGTTTACACTGAATTG